CCCCCACGCCTCCCATCTCAAAGCGTGAACGCCTTGGTACGTGATCACCAGTGGCGTTTTGCTAACCACCATGGCAACATTTCACCCCGCCGTAGGTCTGGTTCCAAAACCGTCGACAGAGGGAACGACGTGAAACAAAAAGGGATGTGGGGCTTCTTCAGTGTTAAATATGAGAGAAGCATGCACTGGATGGAGAAGACGGTGGGCGGCAGGAGCGACAACTGGCGGACAATACACATGAGTTCCCAACATACAAGGGCACACCGAGGGCACAATAAATAGGGAAGAAGAGGGCTGGTAGCAGTGACGGTTTAGGGTTGAGAGCGGGAAACGGCAATAGGAAACCTACGAACTACCGGCAGGTGGCTTTAGGCAGTCCCCTAAACCCTTTTGACAGCTTCCTAGGAGCCTACCTAGACACGCTCTAGCCACTCGCCACATCCCCTGTTGCTTGTTATTATATTACTGCTACATACTTCCAGGAATTCGACGCGCCATCCCCTAGACAACTCCCCAGAGTCTTGGTGGCGAAGTTGAGATTTCCGACGGCAGTAGAAGGCGTAAGAGGAGGCCGAAAACCCCTGCCGGCCGAGCGCCCAGAAAGCGTAGAGGAACCGACGAGCCGCCAAGGCGCCCCACTTAAGATCGTAGGTTTAGGTCTGGCTGCTAATGGCTGGGCACGACAGGGGAAGTGCGTTGTTTGTCTTTGCGGGCTGGTGCCGGAATGGCTCAAAAGCATATCGTATTCTACGGTCCAAACGTTAACGTTGCCGGCTACGCCGTGCCAGGGCAGCAGAGGTGGCGCTAAGCGGAGGGCGGGAAAAGTAACGGCGATGGCCTGGGTGGCGGCAGAGGTGAAGCCGCTTCTTGTCGTCGTCGAGGATGTCCGAAAGATTTTCAGCATACGTTTATTTCCATCATTCCGGCTCGGTACTTCGGGATTGTGGCATTTCGTGCCGCTGGTCGCAAGTCGGCCTGAAGGATTTTTTTTTCCCCAGTGTCAGTGTCCTACTTCCTGCTGCCTGGCCAGGGGAGTACCCACATTAGCGGGTGGAATTCCAGCTGTTAATGTGGACGTTAGAGCGCCTCCCCCGCTGTGGCTGAGGCTACTGGTTCACTAAAATAAGGTCGTGACATTGTCCCAACCGTATTAAAGCCACACCGTTATGAATGTAACGGAAGGAAAAACGAGGTCGTTAGCAATTGTTCATTCAACTTGCCGTCTGAACTGTTTCGTGCCGGCCCCTATCGCGTGTGGCTTGTGGAGTGAGAGGGACTGTGGACAGGCTGTGTACCTCGTTCACACCTAAATGGCCGTACAGTGGCTGTTGCGATTCAAAAGCAGGACTACTAACAACCAATTATTTGTTGCACGGCACGCTTCGCTAAGCGCCCATTCATTGGCCGCAAACGAATGAAGGCGGGGCTGGTATGCTTTAGCCGCGCCCGTCTCTCATGTTTGAGGTTCGAAATGTGGGTCTTGTTCGACCATGCAACGACCCCGCCCTTATGTTTGCAGCAAAGGCGATGATAGCCAACATTCTTCGCCGCCGCGCCGCCTTGGTATGCCTCAAGTCCACGGCGGAGGTCGAACCCCATCGACCCAAACGGCTCTTTTCCGCAAAATCGTCTGCCTTTCAACTAACGCCAGCCTTCAAGACGCCGACTCGCCGTTTGTGCGGGATGCCGGACTCTCTCGCGAGTAAGATTGCAGCGGTGCACGTTTCCCGACACAGAAACCCACCACGCATTAGGCGCAGAGCCTCTGCGGAGCCCGCGACAGAGCGGATATCTTGACCAGGACACACGCTCGGGCAAGCCCGGAAGAGACGATTCGGCGCGATAGTCGGAACTGATCCGCGGCCGCTGAAGCGAACACGATGGACAGAGGCGGACACGCAACAGCGTGGAGCTAAGGACGAGAACGCAAAGCACGCGGCGCACAAGGTATGGCTAGCAATCTTCTCGCGTGGAGAGTTTATGGCTAATGGAGCAATATATACAGGCGACTCTACAGCACCCGGAGCCCCAGGCTCCTGGAAAATCCACCTCGTTCCTCCGAGACTTTGTCGGATATCTCCATCGCGAACCCCACCCGTTCGTTTCCGAGTGGCTGGAGTCGGTCCCGAAAGCGCGCTGCCGGTCGGATAGCTATCTTTTCCGTTTAGCCGACCTTACGAGAGAGCTCAGAAGACCGGTGTCCGACATGGGTAACAGGCGGGATGCCGATGGGAATGCGATCCCGCCGACGCCGGCGTCTACTGAGGCCTAGTCGTACCGAGGAGATGGCTGATGCTGGATCGGGTGCGCCCATGCTTGGACGAGTGGGGCCCAACGATGCTTGCAATGTCGGCGTGCCGGGGCATATTCCCCGGACGGCGCTAGCCCGGGGGTTCGAACTTCGACCGTACCGTCGAATACGCCCATGATGCTATCCTCGCACATAAGGAACCCAAGAGTTATCCGCCACCATCGAGAACAGTAAGGACGCAGCTCCACAGAGCGTCATGCCAACACCGCCCATTCCTCTTCTCCGGGTCATTCCCAGTCGACAACGTTACGCTCCTCCCACTCCCAAGGCCTTTCCACTTGCGATCGCGCGCCAAAAATGCTGCTATTAGCTTCAGATGGATATGACCTGCGGGGTGAGCTTGGTGGCTTTCCGGTTGATATAGGTCCAGCCTTCGGTCCCGATATTCTGGGGACCGGTCGTCACCTCCTCGGAACGGGTGACGGCTCTGTTTCCTCTCTGGAGCATCTCCTTAACGCAGTCCCCGAGTGCCTGCTTGACATCTGCGCCCTCATTGGCTATCTTGCCGATCGCCTTCCCGACCCGGACGGCATCAATGAGTGCATTGACTCCTCCTTCGCCACGGACTAGAGAGTTATACCCGGTGATCGATTAGCAGGAATGTTTGCACGGGGGTTGGGGGAGGGGAACGAACAAGGAACCATGCAATGTGCTACGTCGTCCAGCAACGTCACCCTCCCCGTCGGCAGCTCCTGGATGTACAGCGACCGGAACACGAGCGGCGACTGCACGATGCCCGACGCAGCGGGTCCACCGTCTTGGCCTCCGCGACCCCGCGCGCCAGCAGCTCCTCGCGCCCCGCCGTCGCGTGCCAGGCGTGCCCGCCGCCGTCGACGGCGGCTTCCTCGTCCGGCCAAACAATCATCCAGTGGAAGTCGCCGCTGCTGCCATCCTCGTGGATGATGTTGGTGCCCATGAAGGCGGCCTGGCCGTCGGCGCCGGGCCGGGGCGGCCGGAGGACGTAGCCGGAGCGGCCAAGCTGGAGCTGCCGGACCATGGCGGCGCCAGAGAGGGTGACCTCGACGATGATGGAGGCCAAAGGGAGGGTCTTGGGCTCCACGCCTGGAAGGAGGGCTTTGCGCAGTGGAGGAAGGTAGTCGGTCACTGGCGTTTCACCGCGTTAATAAATGATGGTTGACTTTTTGAGATTCACTTGCGCTGTGGATGCCGTCTGCACCGACGACAATGTCGCCCTTGGCCGAAGTGCCGTCCGCGAAGGACACGGTGACCGTTTCTCCCTCCTGGGTGACTCCGACGGCCATCTTGCAGTATTGCACCGGAATGTGCGTCTCGAGATACCGCCACAGCAGCGTGCGGTTTGCCCTTACGACGGCAGTGTTGCTGCCGTCGTCCTTAACGCCGATCCGGGCGTCCCTGTCGTCGCTGGGGTAAAGGCAACCTCGGGGTGCAGCTTGAGCGCTTGGAGATGACTGGGTGCGGCGGAAGTCGCGAACGCTAGAACACATTGCCTTGGCTTGGCTTTCATGAACCGCGCGTTGGCCATGACCTCGGCTGGTTGGCCCCGATACCTCTTCGAAAGATTGATGAGCGGCTCCCGAACTTATGGGGAACCTAGTCCACAATCGGTTGAGCAACTTAGAGTGCCGTCCTATGATCTTCATGTGTCGCAGTAAAGATCCCTGCTTTCCATACCGCCTTCCATTCCTCCGCCATATGTGCAGCCTGTGTGCTCGCTTAAGGTGTGCCTTAACCTCCGCCGAGAGCGCATGCTGACGCGACTGAGCGTCTGGCTCTTAGTTTCATCTTGCTCTTTCTCTCGGCGAGATAATAAAGCTGCCAGTTAAATCGCACAATCAAACACCTTGGTTACCTCCATCGACGGCGGCTACCTTGCCCCACCACGGACAGCAGATTCCGCTTGCTGCCTTTCCTACATCGGGACAACCCCAGACGCCGAGGACCTCTCAATATGAGCAACAACAGACCAATCTTCATCACCTCAATCAGCCAGTGAACGCGGAACAGTGGCTTGCAAGGAATTCAGCAGCCCCTGTTTCCGCTTCTCACCAGGTCCCTGCGTTCAACGCAATGCTAAGCATCCAGCAACAGCAGCAAGCTGGCGCTGGTACCCCCGGAGGATCATCCAGCTCGACGTCCAAAGACGTCGAGCCGCCAGTTGCAATAAGCGAAGGACGCCAATCGAGGACACCCGAGGGAGGGGCTAATCAGTAAGAGTCATCTCGTTATCCAATCCGTAGGGCCGCCGGCATGCCAATGGTAGCCACAGGGAGGTTGGGTACACAGACGCGGTAGCGAGACATCTTTTTCGAAGCGATTAGTGGAGGAGAGTAGGCCTTCAAGAGCGACGGCGCGAATTCCCAGCCTCTTTACCTGCAAGTGAGCCACTTACGATTGGCTGACAGATTCCCAGAAGGGATGTAATGTTGCGGTCACGCCAGCTTTGTTGCCTCTAAGCTCAACTATTCGCGAGCGAGGCTCCGGGAAGCAGAGGGGGCTATGATCTTGGCGTGCGTTGTAACGGCGACACCTGCCGACCAGCAGCAGGATTAGGCGAGGACGCAAGCGTAGGTGGGTGACTTACACGCCTGGAGGCCATCCGGCAAATGTAGGTGCCCAAACGCCCGCCCGGCAAGGGTGGCTTGAGGAACAAAGCCGTATCCATTGGTAGGGTCGCCAGGTCTTGATTGGCCGTAGCCAGAGCCGCATGGCAGCCACGGGCGTTTGACTCATTCGGCTGCGGCCGTGATGTGTCCGGGAAGCTAGGCGAACAAACAAAAGGGCCTGCTCGCCCAACCGACTTCCTGGCAGCCTCGCCGAGCTTGCCCAATCGGGAGGACTACCACGCGTACATCGTCAACGTGCGGGCGAACAGAACTCACCCATCCTGCGACGTACACCTACACCGCCACGTATAGCGCACTCGTTAACGCCGGCGAGGAGCGGGCCGACAATCAAGACGACCTAGCCGTTCAGTCAGCCACGTATGTACCTTCGCACTGGAGGTGAAGTCGCCGGGCAACACCATACGACTGGCAGCTTAAACCAACCACGAACAAGAGTGACTCACCACCGATATTATTGTCAATTTTGTTGGAGCAAAAGTGCTGAAAACCGATGCGGTAGTTTCAAGCTTGTCTGGCGCATTCTCCTCTTTCCCGGCTGAGGCAATAGGTATAAAATGATCCTATTCTCTCGATCCACATTGCTGACCCTGACCCTCACATTATCCTCAGTTAGGAATCTGTTATACACACCCTTTCGACTGTTTACACGAACACGTTTCTGAAAATCCAAGTTCAATTTGATTTAGTGTCAACAAGAGGACAAGCAGTAAGTTATCCGTACTAATAGCCCGAGAATTTTATCTAACTCAACGCCAGTGGCTTGCTCGAGTAACAACCCGCTTGTCAACGAGAACAAGTGTAGCAAATGCGGAAAGAACTTCACCGGCTCCAGCAACACTTGCCAGTGCAACAAGTGAGCGAGGTACCGCAGCATGGTTGGGTTGGTTAAGCACTAGCCGCGCCCGCTTGGTGGTTTGCTTTTGGGTGGCGGAACGGGCGGGCGCGGGGTCACTCATTTGTGTACTTGGACAGCGATCTCCACTGTCGCAATGGAAACAACAAACGATTTGGTCGCGGATAGGCGGAATCTTGTCGCTCATTTAGTTAAACTTGGCTTAGTCTTGTTTCCCTCGCTCGAATAGCGCGTGCGCGCGAATGCACCGTCTCGTGAATATTTGCCTGAAGCCGTCAATAACTGGTCTGTGCAGGTTTTAGCAATGCCCCACCCCACCAGTTTTCTCTTTTGCCTGCTTCCGTTCCTCCTAGGACAGTCATGCTTCGCCCGCGAGATGCCTTCAGTTGAGCAACGAGATCTCGTCCCCGATGAGAAGATACTCTCTTCCATCTTCTCGGGCGCTCCTGGCGTCACGCTGACAAACTGCAACATTTTCTCAAACACATTCGACACTTGCACGTTTAGCATCCATCTCGACGTCGCGCCTTTTTCCAGCTATCCTAAAGATCTCCTCGTCCGCCTAGAAACATCGGGAAGTCGCTTGGCCGTCGTCGCATCTCTCCAGCGACTAGGGTACGCTCAACTACCCGATCTCGTTCCGCTAGTACTTGATGTCGGCACCACAACAACCGCGGATGGGAGACAGGTCGAGTACTCCGTGTCGGCGTATTGTACGGGAACAATTACGCTCGAGGACATCTGGGACAGAATCAGCCCAACCCACCAGCTGGAGCTAGTGGATTCGGTTGTTCATGCAGTGGAGAATCTTCAGAAACTGGACCGAAATAGCGAGGACGTTAGATGCCGAATGAGTACCCCCTGCCGTTTAGACAACGACGATTCGATCGGTGGACCACACCTTGGATATTTTCCGGACGTCAAGCAGTTCTTAGGCCGAATCCTTCAAGCGAGTAATCCAAGGCCACCTAATTGCACGCTTTCGGAGACCGATGAAGGCATCATGCTCGTGTCAGCATTTGAAGAGATAGGCCGGGTTGGATTTACTCACGCGGACCTTGATGATCTCCGGTATCATGCCGTCTTTTGCCACAACGACCTCGAGCCCCGCAACATCCTCGTCAGGGAAACATCGCCGACCGAGGACAAAAGCCCGCGTTACGAGCTGGCTGCTATCATCGACTGGGAAATGGCTGGGTTCTATCCGTTTGCCTACGAGTATGGAGTCAAGGATACCGTCCTCGGTTCTTCGAACCTGTCCTTCAGCTGGTATTCGTTATTCAAGGAGCGGACGTCATATATGTTGCCGCGAGCAGAGTGCCACACAAAGCTGATAAAGGCGCTCAGGATTATCGACGAGTCCAAGAAGAGAAGTATGACGCGAAACGTCGGCATCCGGGTTCAGGCTAAGTGGGTGGAGAGGCAAAACGTTGAAAGATCTTCAGAACTTCGTCAAGGCTGGGTTCTCAAAGCTGGGACTAAAGTTCCCGGGCCATTCACCAAGGATGACCAAGCGAATCTCGAGATCGAGGTTCTGAGGGAACTGGGCTATGTGTAGATTGGATGATACTTGAACAAATATCCTGCTCCTGTTATATAAGCGGATTCTCGGAGGAAGGGATGCCTGTTCATACTTCCGCCGGTACCTGTGAACTTGGCCTCTAAGAACTGCGTGTAAATATGCTACAGCGCCAGCAGCGCAGCCCCAAAACGACAAATAGCGCTGACCGTGCTAGGAGTTGATACGTAGATGTCTACGAAGCCAAAATATTGAGAGACGAGGGAGAGACGCTATGGTAGCCGGGGGCGACGCAATCATGGTCAGCTCCAGCTAGGTGCCCTGACTGCCGCTTCTGAGCGCCGGCGAGGTGCTGTCCGCATTGTTCAGGCAGAGGTGCGTCCAGTTTACTTCACCGTGACGCTGGTTGGCGCCTTCAGGAGGGCCATGGGGTTCGGCCCGACCGTCAAGGGCCTCGAGCGCAGGTTCATGCCTCTGACCAGGTGGAGCACCCCGAACGCCGTAACGACCATGTGGACGATCGAGCCCGTGACATCCAGCATCGTCGTGAGGGGCGACAGCATCAACGTCAGGACCGCGAGCGAGAACTACTCGGAGCTGGAGTGGATCGAGCCCATGTCGATGACCACCCACTCGACGGTGGTGAAGCTCGGGAACGAGATCAGGGGCAGATGGGCCGGCTGGATCGTGTGGAGAGCGGCGCGCGACATGGGGACCGAAAACGGGATGGACTCGGTGTGCCCCACCTGAGAAGGACGTTTATCCGCGACATCTGGCCCGATGTTGAAGATGATTACAAGAGGATGATGGAAGAGCTCAAGGAGCTGTTGGACAAAGGTCTCGCGAATGAAGGCATCCATGCTGGGCTTTTCGCGCGTGTCAAAGAGGTCGAGTCTGTCGACAAGTCGGTTAGGCGGTCGCCTGAGTTGATGAAGTCCTTAACCATTTTACGGACCTTCTTCTGGCGGATGGACGGGATAATCTCGTCGGCGCCCTTAATTTTACCTGAAAACTCGATGAGGAGAAGCCAAAGTTCGCCGGCTATTTGTGCAATGGGGTGACCCTTTCCGTGTTTGCAAACGGTCCAGTCATAGATCCACTTGCCCAGGGAGTTGGCGTCGAAGACGCTCCCGAGCAGCAGGATGGGCTGCTCCGTGGGGTCCCAGTGGGTCAACGAATATCCTTCGGGAGTCCAGTGCTTCCTGGCATCCTTTTCGGCCGCAGCCCGGTGTTCGGGCTGCTTGGGCTCGGGCGTTGAGTCCCGGCGGGGTTGACTCTCTCGAGGCCTTGACGTCGAGTGCGGGCGTCTCGGCTGCGGTACAGGCTCTTGCGGTACAGGCTTTTCGTGCAGTGGCGTCGAGCACCAGCGTCTCGGCTGCGGTGTGGGCTTTTTGCGCGACGACGTCGAGTCCCGGCGTCTCACCTGCCGAACAAATCAGTATACTAGTAATTTATTATACAAATTCGCGAAAACTTACATCGCAAGGTGAGGTGTAGACTATTGTACCGTACAAGCCCCCTCCAGTGTAGCGTGGCGACGGTAGAAATTCGCCCATCGTAGCCGCTGTTGACGTGAAAAGGCCGCACAGAACAGAAGGTGTTTATCAGCAGGAGTGCTCTCGTCAATTGCACCTTTGGAGGGAGCAGCAACGAAAAACGAGATGGCCTAAAAGGAGGCTGCCCATCGCACACGCCTTATCGGTTTCTGGCGAGTCCACCGACACCCAGCCCCCGACGTGCATACGCGACGCGATTACCAGGGCGGGATTTAAAGAAGCATGTACCCTTGGCAATCGCTGTCATAAGCGCGACAACAGGAACGACTGGCGATGGAAAGTCGAAGCGGAAGCTACTGAAGCGGGTAAGGGGTACAGTGCGAGGTTTCAGGGGTTACTTCTCTACATACACTGTGGTCAAACGTGAAAGGGGGCAGCCAACACATCATCCAACTTTTCCGACGGGATTAGCTGTTAGTCGCCTCCCCCACCCCTTTCACATAGGTACTTCTGGATGTGCTTGCCGAGTCCTGGGCGTAAATCACTCATTTCCAATCAGAACTGGCCACTGCCATACGCGTATAAGTGGCCCACCTTTGTTGGCAACCTGCTAAAGCTGTGCGGCCGTAGGTAAGCCCAGCCATCTCCCCTAGGGGGGCTGGGCCGCAGACTCGTCAATGTGAGATGCGAAGTAGGCAGAGGCACATGTCGTTCCGTCCCACTCCAACGACGCGCATTCAGGTCGACGACATGTACCTACGGCGACGATGGCTCATCCAGTGTTACATGGGGCAGGCGGATGCTATGCTTTGACTGCTATAGGCTCACACCACGTATCGGGTGGTATTTTTTTGCACCCCCGTTGGCTTGCTACCCAGCCACCCAATATTATCCGCAGGAACGGCAACTGGAGCAGATCGAAGAGGGTGTCGACCTAGAAACGAGGGGCAGGGCAGGCAGCAGGACAATAACACTGACGGGTTATTCCCGTTGCTGGGGGCCGACGGAGATATGCAAAACACGGAGTTTATCCATGGCTGGGTACGATCTACCTTGCGGCTTCCCTTTGCTGTTTCCCGAAATAGAACCCTTTCTGAATTTTCGCGTGCAGGGACATCCACTGAACTGCTGCCGGCCGCTGTCCCCCCTGATGCTTGGCGGGTTGAGGACGCTGTAAAGCTCCTGGCAGGCTGCAGCGCCATGCTCTTGCTCCTAGTCCCCTGGCGGCCAGAGCGTGATGTCGGATGTGCTTTGCTCAAGCCGGACACCATGTTGCTCCAGTGGAAGCAGAGGTACCCGATCCATGTTTAGCGCTCACAGCAAAGGGTGTCACATAGTTTGCGTGGATGAGGCGCGCCCCGCGGTGGCCACATGGCCATAAATTGACACACATTACATCGTAGATCTCTCCTTTTATTTTACAACATGCCCTTGGCGCCTTTCTCCCCCTTCTGCCCTAGAGTTCTGATTCGTACGGTTGCGTCAAGTCCAAATAAATAAACCGAAGTCGTATCTGCACGAGCCTGGAAAGGGTTTGGGGAATGGGCCCGCCCCTCTTATCAGCGCTGCTCATCCGGCGCTGCGGACCCGGGGCGCCTCTCTATACCGTTTTTCACTTCCAGTAGCAGCCAGGTTGGAAGTCAGGAGCTCAAACGGAAACAGACGCCCCCGCAAGTCAGCATGCCGTTTTGTCCCGTTGTCGATGATGAGAGGAAACGAGTTTCGAGGGGCGGAGGGTTCTGGAGAGCTGTTATCCGCGCGGGCGGCATTCCAAGTGACATCGGTTTTTAAACTGAGACGCCTGTACGCGCTCCCCGCCATGGTTTGCGGGGCAGCGATAGGTGGGGTGGTTGCTTGCGCGGCCGCCGGAGTCGGCTTGATCACCAGTATAGGGTTCTTTCTCGTAGCTGTCCTCGGCGCGGTTCTCGAATTATTTTTGGAGTGGTCGCGGTTCCGCTTCGTAATAACATCGGTTTTCAGATTGAGAGGCCTGGCCGTTTTGTGGAGTTTATAATACACCCACAAGCGTTGCACAGATGCTGTCCTTCTAGGTTTCGGCGCCACAGAGGTGTCGTCTGCGTAGAACAGTTCGCGCAGGTTCTCGGTACCGTGCTCTCCCCTTGGTTCCCCAGAGGCGTTTTGGAGACTTGTGCTCGAGCCATATGGCGGCGAGGATGGCCGGCTGTGCGCATACTCTTTGCGTTTTTGAGGTAAGAGATTCAAGCTAGTTGAAGCTCGAAACGCGTCTGAGATTACAAAACGATAATACATTAGTATCTGCTTTCAGGTCACACTTGGGAATATCCTGGCTTTTGATTCACTCACCTTGAGATGGACCAAGGCTAAGGTTGCACGGAGTCGTGGACACGTAGCTGCCTGCTGCTCCTGTCTTGGATGTCATAGACACAAGCCTGGCCATGTCTGCTGTGGCCACCACTGCTGTCCCCGTCGGAAGAGAAGTGGGCGGTTTGGCGGCATACAGCGAATTGTACAAGCCCGTGGGGGGAGCGTCGTGCGGTGCCTGCAGCTCGGTGGACTGCGTGTATCCCAGCGGATGCGTCGGGGTTGGGGCCAGGGCCTGAGTTCCGGGAGGAGCCGCTTGCGGACGAGGGGGTTGGTACGGCGGCCGCTGTGCAGAGGACTGGCCGGCGATGGCCCCGGGGGCAGGATGCTGCACCGGCTGCCTCTGCTGCCCCTGCATGGCAGCACCGGTCTGTGGCAGGCCGTAGGTGGCCGAGTATCTGGGCGGAATTCCCTGTCCTATGTGATACCCCTGGGCGGCCGGGCATTGTGGGTGGGCCATCTGTTGGTTCCACTGTATGGCATGCATTTGCGCCGCCGGGTGGTCATTCGTCCCGATCGGGAGCGGCTCGCTGTCGGCCAACAATGAGGCAACGGTTATTTTGTTAATCTGGGGTTGCGGCGGCAACGGCTGCTCTTGCGGATGCGGAATCGGCGTCGTCGTCGTCGGCGTGCCATCTACCCTATTCAAGTTGGACCGAGCCTCTAAATTCAGCGGCCTTGGGCTCAGGGGGCGAGCCCCCAGAGGAGCCAGCTCGTCCGCCGGGCTGTGAGAACGGTCCTTCCGGGGCGCGTCTTCCCATGTCGTGTTATGGTGCTAGAACATAAGAGCGAGCGATCAACAGGGTTTCGTCGCATAACATCGCTGTGCACGTAGCTCAGGCAGGCCGCGATGGTTGGCCGGAAATGGTTGGAAGGGTAAAAGCTCAGCACTAACAAACTCTTTTCTGCTGCATGCGCCCATTGCCCTGATCAGCGCAGCCTTCCCTGGGTCGCCACCAGAAGTTGTGAATGCCTTGTTTTTCAAGTTCCTGCTACCACGGGAGCTATTCGTGGGCCGTTTTCAGGCGCCTCGAGGTCCGGTGAGGACGGCGACGGTATAATGTCCACCACCAGGCGGGACCAGTTTTTTGGGGGTTATAAAGTTGCCGCTGGCTTCGGAAACCTAAGCGTAAGCAGTCAAGAGAGAGCGCCGTTGGAGCGATGGATTAAGTGTGGACAGGTGTGGCGCGGCGGAGATCTGTCGGGCGCCGGATTGTAGTGTGATTGTACTGCCTGGGCGCTAGTGAGGAGGGGTGCAGTAAGGAAACGGCTTGCGGGGTGGAGCCCGTGAATGGCCTCGGGGGATGGCCCTGTTTTGCTATGATGAGCCCGCCTGGCCGGGCAGGGGTGGGCAAGCGGCCAGGGGGGTGGCCAGGCCACTCACCAGGTAGGGCGACGGCAACTAGGCCGAGCAGCACGCACCCCTTCCCACCCTTCCGCTGGAAGTTCACCAAACACGTTGCATAGTTGGGTGGCAGCATGTGAAGACTTCCGCCAACAGGCGGTGCAGTTATAATCCGCTTCTCCAGCAAAACACGTAGCGCGTGGTCGCGTTCCTCGTTGCTTTTTACGCGTTTCCGCGCGCCCACCGCACTTTTTATTATGCAACCACCAAGACCTGCCGTCTGGCCGCTCACCGTACCGCTCGCGAAAGCGGCATGTTTCCGGCCAAAAACATGGCGTCTAATTACTTACGCATTAACCTCCCCACATGCCGCGGAGCCTTATGGAGGGGTGTAAGCCAGCCCTGGAAGCGAATGTTTGTTTGCCGCTACTAACAGATTGCAGCCAGCTGCTGCACAGTACTTTTTTAAATCATGCACCTTTGCACCTCGGGAAATCCATGCAACCACTTCCCGGAAAGGTGAACTGAGTGAGTCATTAAGCGGCGTAAACATTGCTCCAGCCACCCAACCTCTTTTTATTGCAGCTAGAGCTCGGGGGCAACCCTTTAGGAACGGCCAATCGTTTTGAGCGTTTACATCTCTGCCGGATAATGCATCCCACTGGAGAGCTGTATCAACCGGCAGGTCACTCCAAGCGCTGTCCTTCGCCCTGTTCTCGCCACCTCGATGACATGAAATGGAACCCCTTTTGGATCACGCTGTACCTTGGATGTTCGTGCCGGATCCACTTCGGTTCGGTTCCCGCAACAAGCGCAGCGGGCAACGCCAGCTGCCGGTCCAACGCCGGAGGCACCTCCTGGCGGCCTTCCACGGTTCCCTCCTGCTCACACCCCTCTCCAACGCCCCTGCGCCAAGGCTTGATTCCTTGCAGCCGGATCGATGGATCAAACGACACGAACACTATAGTTTGGCCAGCAGCGTAGCACACTGACCTCTCGTCCCACGTCGCCGAAACACGTTGCCCGGGTGGGCTGAAGACGTTGTAGAGCTCCTGGAGGGCAGCAGCGCCATGCTCTTGCTCCCAGTGGTCTGGTGGCCAGAGCGTGATGTCGGATGCCTTGTAGAGCCTGTGGATCTCTTTCTCTGGGTACAGAGGGTTGTTTGGGAGGTCCGCGGATGAAGCTTCGAGTTCTTCGATTTCTGATTCCAATCGAAAACGCCTTGACCCCGCCCTAAGACGAAATCGATTCTGATAGCGGCCGGTTGGTAAAGGGTCGTTGACCAAATCTAAGTAGGTCTGGCAGGATGGGTGGTAAGACAGCATAAGCGAGTTGTTGATAGTGAAAGTCCAAGGAGATGCGGCATCGTCACCAGGATGGACTTCGTAGGGGGATCGAGTGTGTGACTCTGTCGCTGAAGAGAACCCGGCAAGGCTGTCTGTCGAGGAAGCCCGCTCGCCTTCGCCAGAAAACCGAAGCTCGCTCGAGTAGTATGTCCGACGGTTTTTGCTGCTTGATTTTATCCATTCCTTACGACCTTCGACGATAGTTAGAGCACCCGTAGTTTCGTTTTTCACAAGCCTCAAAAAGGTCCAACGCTCATCGATAGGCCCTTCGGCATGGAACCTGCGCCAAATATCCTCAGGCTCGACAGTTTCGGCGTTCCTGGGTTTGGGCCGGTTGACGGGGAATCTGAGGTAGGTGTAGTAGGAAGTCCAGGCGATTTCCTCCCGCTCGAAAATGGCCTGGTTTGCGACGCAGTAGAAATGGCCATCGATGATTTCAAAGCAAATATTGGTGCCGACTTCAGAACCGACAATGTCGGTCAATCGAAGTTTGTGTTCAAACCAAGTCTCCTCTTGAAGGTTGCATCCTCGCACCTCCCAACAACGATGGTCGGTGTCAGAGGTGTCGGTGTGCGTGCCGTAATAGAGAAACTCATCGTTATTTCGAACGATAAGTTTGTGTGCTGATTCGAGTATGTGGCTAAATACGCGACCTTTGGCCAGGTTGACGATAATAATCCAGCCAGGGAAGGACTGATTGTGGCCATAGCGGCAGGTAAAAAACCCGTGAGAGTAGTGAACGAGACTGAAGTCGAAGTCTTGCCCTTCCTTAGGGATCGACGGCAGGCTTTTATCCAGCAGCTCGCTGACGCTGATGACAGTTTCCCACGGTACCGAGTTGTGGAGGTCAAGGACCCGCAGAAAGCTTTCGCTCAGGTAGCAGAGGACGCCGTCCGAGTAGAGGAACGATTCGGCAGCATCAGCAACCACGGCGACGAGATAGGGCGATGCTGACGAGACGGCATCCCTGCGCTTGACCAGTCTGCGCAGCTCCCTCGCGTACTTCTTTGTCTTGCGAGCTGACTGGCTTTCGGGTGCTGACGGCGTTTGTGACTGCCCACCGAAATTTTATCAGTTGCGAGCCAGAGCTGGCAAATACGGGAGACGTGGTAAGTGGCGTGGAAAAGTAAGTTGCTAACCTCAAGGAGCCTCTTGCATATGTTATCGTCGCGGACAAGCCATTGGAAGTGACGGCATGACATGGAAAGGCTGATAACTTCGTCCAAACCCAGCCCCCGGACAACATAAGAGATGATCTCCCATGGCAGGTCACGTATCGACTTGTTTCCCATCACTACCGAAGCGGACGATCAAATAATAAAAACTGCGGCGACCAAAAAGCGCGAGGTGATGGGCTCGAACCAGGCTGGCAAGGGAAGACAACGACAACAAAGGGCCTGCAATTGGGGTAGGGAAGTACTGGGCAAGCCTTGGGTTCGAGCAGTGAGCTAGATGGGAGGAAAGGCTCCACCATGCTGCCGCCCTCAGGTTGATATATCTACAGGCTTATCAAGGGCATGGTGGCTCAAGCACCCCATGTCAACATTCCGCGGGTAGCTGTATCATCATTCGGACATTCGGAGCTGGACATGCTGTGGCTACTTGGACGCGGTGTGTGCTGGCTTTGCATCTGCAGCAATGCGCAGAGCATCCTACCCCTTCTGACCTTGTTGAAGGATACATACTTACCCGGCCAGGTGGTCGTTAGGAGACACTCCTGGGGTGGCCGCCGAAAATGCGCCAAGCGGTGAAGGGGACCGCGGCGGCGTCGGGGCGGGGATTGCCAAAGGCCAATTATTCTCATGAGTGCAGTGAGGCCAGACGGAGGAAAAGAGGAGTTTGAGCGCAGGGGGGTCAAACAGAAGGAAAAGAGGGGTGTGAGTGCAGGGGTCGGGCAGTGACTCCTAGTTACAGATGAATACTGGAAGTGCCGAAAAATAATGCTGTGGTTGGCTCCCTGCTAGATGTAGGAGTGCCTCTATACAATTCAAAGTCTCTCCACCCCGAAACGCGTCCTCCCACCCGACCTGCTACAGTGCAGCCAGATCCAGCAATCGGCTTAGGGCCAGTGTTGGTGCCTCATGCACCAGACACTATCCGATGTACCAGGGACATTCGGTTAGGTTCATGCAGTCAGTCAGTGCGCATTCAGTTATCCAGTTCAAAATGACCCATCTAGTCTAGCCAACGAAATCTCGTTATCCAAACGCAGCTAAAACTACATCAATGCACAGACCACACTTTATTTCAACATCGAAAGCGACGTCTGCGCGTGGTCGATTCCATATCCTGCCTCATTTGCCGTCAAAGAAAGTTGGCCGCTTTGCTGAACGCAATCTTGCATGAATATGCTAGCTGTTGAAGTCCCTTCGCGGGCGGCGCCATTATGTTTGAACAAACTCCGTTAAATAACCTTTTATCATCGCTGCAGGACTGCAAGTTGAGCACCGCTGCTAGTGGAGGACACATCGTCTATTGGGGTTACGCCCGGGATAGACGTCAAACGCAGGTTGTCGTTGGCGTCAGCGTCTTTGCGGCTGCCCCACGTGGTCTAATGACAGGGGAAAGTCAGCGGTTTGTTTGCTGCCTCGGCACGGCAGCCCCCAAATGGGCCAAAACAAGAAATCTTACCACGTTCAGAGTGAATAGGGCGTAGAGCTTGATCAAGCCGTGGAAGTAGCCAAAGACGATGGATAATGGCAGGAACATGAGGTCCTTGGGGTTGCGCTTGAAGAGGCCCATGAGCTTGACAACCTTGGTGAAGGCGAAAAAGACGAGCATGGCGCCAAACGCATAGCACCGGTTCATATTATCCCAATCGGCCGTGCCCCACCATAGCGAGGCCAGGATTAGCGGGTCGAAAACGAAGGCCAGAGAGGTGAAGGTGGCGATGTGAAGCGCGTACGTCGACCAGGGCTGTTGTCTGTTGAGCACCCGCAAAGGTGGGATTGGTCAGAACGGCTGCTGACAGGCAAGGCCTTCTACGCGGCTGGCTGAATGGGAAGGAGCAGGAGGGGTGGTGATCGTGTGCTGGTGTGTGCTTGTGGCGCGCGCCTGTGTGCTTGCTGGAGTGTAAAGGGGTGCACCTGTGGTGGAGCTGATTTTGGGGGGAGGCTAAAGGTGAAATGATGGCCGGGGTCTGGTGGTGGTGGGTGTGGAGGTGGGTGTGGAGTGGGATTGGTTCAATGGATTCGGTGTTAGCATCGGCGGTTGAGCTCACTCACCTCCAGACATGGCGCTCTACAACCAGACTAGTCCAATTGCTCCTCCAGTTACTCCTGGCCCACCGCGAGCACTGGTACAAAAACTTAAGGCCGTATTCCAAGGCCGTCTCAACCTCGCACTCGCGCTCGTACTGGACCCACGTTTTCCATCCGTGGCTCACGAGCCAGCGCGTTACAAAGTTGTCGTCGTCGGCGTTAAGGATGAAGTCGCGCCACCGCTCCGTTTTAAACGAGTGCTGGAACGCGGGGTCCCGGAAGATGTCCGTCCGGTACGCCCCGGTGCGGCCCGACATGCACGACGTGCCGCCGTCGATGTTGTGCGTCGCCGAAATCTCAAAGTTGCGCCGCTCGATATAGCACGCCCCGAGCCAGTTGCTCGCGCGCCAGAGGATCGACACGCCCGCGTCGCGCCTGACCCTCTGGCACGTGCTTACGCCACCAATCCGCTCGTTCTTTAACGGCGCAAGGATCCAGGGCATAAGCGTTTTGGGCCACGTCACGTCGTCGTCCGCCATGATAGTGATCGGGGTCGTAACATAAGGCAGCGCTTTGCAAACCTGCAGGCGCTTGTTCGCCACGGGGATGCAAAAAATGCGGATCCTGGTCAAGTTCAAGGTCCGCGCGAGCTTCATCAAAGCGTCGAATTTGCTGGTGGTCGTGACAATGATCAGCTCGTACGGGTTGGTCGCGAGGATGCTCTCCAGCGAGGGCCGGAGCTCCTCGAAATTATGGTGAATGGTGGGTATGATAACCGTGACATCCTGTTCCGTGTATGTTGGTTTGCTGGGAATAGGGTAGGATTTGTAACTCCAGTGGCTGATGCAGTGCACAATGAGACGGACATATCTATGAAGGCTACTAGGAAGGAGTTGTTGGTCAGATTAGCTACTTGAAAGGGTGGTGCCTATGCTGGCGTTGGTGCGAACCACCGGCCTCCTAGGGGATGGGGAACTTGCAATAGCACACAGAACAAGTACAACCAGAAGGTTGGAGACTCGGGAGCCAGGCTCTCTGCGAGGCCCTCCCAGCCAAACATGCCCGATGATGATGGAGGGTATTCGCCTTGATGCTCAGCCTAGACGGGTCGGAATCTTGATTCTTGGAGTGTTTTGTAGTATCATTTGGCGGAAATGCTAGTCCTCGTGAGACGAGAGAAGTACCAGAGGTAGCGGATAGCAACACAGGGGCAGGATGGCGAAGACGAGGTGAGCGGGTAGCTGCTTTCCTTTCAAGTTCCGGGACTCCGAGGTACGTACTGGGTGAGAGAGGCGGAAAGAGTCCGCAGTGGAACTGTACGTGTACCGTACTGGAAGCTACCGCATACAGCGCGCTGCAGGGATTATGCATAACAAATGAAGCAGTGTTTAACAGATGGGTGGCTTATATTGTATCGACCGACATATGTCCGAGTGGCTGCATATTCACTGCAATAACATAAGCACTGTATCAAAGGTACCAGGTGGCTGACTGCGGCCTCTCAATGTCGGATTTCCCGGACAAGCCGCGCACTCCCTTCCTGCCTTGCAGCCCTAACTTATTGCACCGGCCAGTCATTGTGGCTACCGCCAAGGTAACCACACACCCTCTCACGAAGTTGAGAAGCTGGAGGGGAATGGCCAACTTTTTCCAAGTAGACATGCTAGATGGGGCGTGTGGGAGATTTGATTCGTTGTCGTTGTTATAGCATACATCCCCTCCGGCCGTAGCGGTCAAACCAAGCGAAGGAAAGATCTGAGTAGCTCACCCAGAACATCCAGAACACCCTGGTTCTAGTTCTAGATCCCCTGATTCTGGTTCTGGTTCCCCTCCCATGCGTCCCTCAAATCTCGCTCGACCATCTCGTTAACCTGATCCACCTCCTTCCGGTGTAACTCATCCCTCTTCTGTTTCTCCTCCAGAGGCTCTCCCAATATCCTGAACACTAACTCGAGACCGCCCTCCCCGCCCTCCGCACGATCCTCCTTAATGAGCCGCATCTGCTCGTCAAGAGTAGCACATAAATCTCTATGACAAGCGCTGATCTCTGGGAAATTGGAATCTAAAAATTCCCACGCAATCTCCTCTACCTCTATCTGGAACCTCCAACAGACACCATTCCAAAACGTACGATCCTTCCCCGTTATAACCCACTCCTCCGACGACACCTTATAAAGCCTTAGGGCACTATACGGCTTCATCTTCTCGGTGTCCATCTCGTTGCCCTCTTCGTTGGAGCAGATCCTGCAAGGGTTTCCCTGGAACGTGAAGTTGCGGCATCTCTGGGTCGTATGTTAGTCAACTGTTCCGTCAAACGGGTTAGGGCAGACTCACGTTGCAGCGCCAAACCCTAACGACCTCGTAGCCCCCGTAGATCAGGCCCGGCAGCTTTCGACTGGTGCCAGCCATGGCGAGTGGTGAGCGGCAATGCGTAAGAAGGTGAGCTGATGAGGGGCAACGAAGAAAGAATGTAAGACCAGAAACGGGAATTTTCAACCCTTTTATAGCTAAACGAATAATGGTGATAGAGCTTGTGCCCGAAAATTAAATCGGGGGTCAGGCAAAGATGACATCCCCGGTGCTGTTGCCCGAGTATGGAACGCCCGACGGCAGTGAGCTCACTCCATGGTGTAAATTGCCCGGGTTCTGTCGTCAAAATCACAAATTAGAACTTTCCGCCCTTCCCTGCTTTTGAAGCACGGGCAGGTGGTTGGGCGCATGCAAAGGCCAGGCTCAAAGCAGCTTCTATCACGGCCGCGACGGCTTAGCTGTGCTGCTAGCCAACGGATTTGGAAACTGACACCTCATCCGGCAAATGTAGCCGGCAAATGGCGAAGCCCAGGTGGTAGCGGCGGAAGCCGGGTCACCGCAGGGCAGCAAACTCGAACCAGCTGGCAGCCCGTGTTCGCTCCCTGGCCAGTGAGAGGTGGCAGGCTGCAGCCCTTCTTCGCCCCGATGCATCATCCTTGTATTTCCGCTTGCACCAGAGCGTGTGCAGCTTGGAGACCAAGTACAGCCTCGCCAGTCAAAACTTGTACCCCCATGTACTGCCTGGCAAAGGACTTACCATCGAAAACCATTGTGACGTAACAAATCGGGCGTTCGCTACCGATGACGAGACGGAGGAACTTTGGCCGGTGTACCTGCAACAGCACTTTGAGCGATGACAAGACGATAATGGGACGCTGCCAGCGTACCGCTCCGCGTGCCCGGCAAGCAACCATTTCAAACTGTGACCCTCCTTGCTTACTACTTGCACGGAAGCGATTCGTATCCTGCATTGGTGTTGGTCACACCCGGCGGTTCGGAGGTACTTGTGCCAACGTATCTCTTTCTGCGTGGTAGGGACTGTTGTGGTGTGAACCAGCAACGGACCGCGACCTGAGGACCGCGCAGCTGGCTGCGGCGTCTAGTTAGACTCAATCCGCCTAGCCTCATGGGGGTGGTCCTATAAATCTACACCTGGAAGCGATGTGACCATGCAGAGACAATATTGTGGACGAATTGTGGACGAGTGTTCGGCCAATGCGTCCAGGAAGGGCCCGCCCTGGCGCGTTCATGGCCTTGCTTTGCTGGCCGCTCACCGTACCGCCGATCTATGCAGCTCCTGCCTCGCGAAGCCGGCATGTTTCCAGCCGAAAACCTGGCATCCAATCACGCATCTACCTCCCCGCATGCTGCAAACGGAAAACGAAGCAGCGACATACGCTGCTCGGGCAGCCGTGATGTCAAGAAATCATCGCCAGCGTGTTTTCGGACACGTGTATGACGCATCAGGGGCGGGCTCGGGCAAACATCCTGGGTCCTGAAAAGGCTGTCCCAGAAGTGAGCCTTAGGGAGGGTGTGTCGGAAAGAACTCTCTTCCCCTTTGTAAGGATCACGCAGTGTTGCGCCGCGCCAAGCCTCTCGCGTCTGCGCGCCCACCAGGTCGTATCGTTGGCTGGCCGTCAATCCGCAACACAGCGGTGGCTGGGAGGGTCGACCTGCAGCACCGAACCGTTTGCAGGGTGGGAGGCAGCGTTTAGCAGCCCGTTTCGTGCTAGCGCGTTGCGCTCCCTACACGCCCTCACTG